TTCCGTACAAAATGAGGCTGCTCTTGCCACTTTTTGTGTGATTTCCTTTTTTTTTTTTTTTTAAATTAAGCCCTCCGTTTCTAGCATGCCAATTGCTAAGAAAACCAGCCGTGACCCCTTGCAGCGCGGCCGAGTCCGCAGACAGGCAGCGCGAAGCTGCAGCGACGAGGTGCAGCGTGGCCGCAGCACAACTAACCAGACCTTGAGCTCCCCAAGGAAGGGCCCCATCTTTTGACCCTGTATTTGCACAGCACCAGGCACAGCAGCTCCTGCTGCTTCTCCCACAGGAGAAGCCTTAAATTCCTCCAGGACCCTGCACCCTCTTTCCAGTGGCCGCCCCGCATGGCCGTATCACGCACATCCCCCTGCTTTGCTCCTGTTGCCTTTTTGCTGCCCAGCAATGCCTTACTTTTCTCCCTTCCTCCCTTGCTTTGGGTCTCCTTTTGGGCTATTGCCGAATCCCAGCGCGTCCATCAGCTCATCGCCATCGTCCTCAAACACGAGCTCCTCCCTTCTGCGGACAGGGGCCGCGGCGTGCCGGGGCGGCTGGGGTGGGGGAGGCTCTGCGGATGGGATCACGCACAGGAGCAGTAGGTTACATCAGTTTTTACTTTAACAAGAGCTCATAGCAGCCCTGCCTGCCCTTTTCTCTCAGGACCGTTTACACAGTCACTTTCAAACAGGGCTTTTTGGTGCTCAAATCCCCTGGGAAGTGACAAAGCAGCAAGGCTCTACTTCCCGGGCTGCGGCCGCGCGCACACTGCTGGGATGTTGCTGGGCGTCACCATCACCAGGGTTTCCAGCTCTGGCAAATGCCAGGAGCTTTGTAGCCCTGCAAGTTTCTAATCAGTGAATTCCTGCCCTCCAAAAGTCCCCACTCCCTCAATGCACCTTAGTCCTTGCCCTAACCCAGCAGCTGCTTCTTGTGTCCATCTCTGCAGCAGACTGGACTTACTGGGGTGGGGGGTGCTCAGGGGGACTCTCAGTCCCTTCCCGTTAGTGTCCCAGCTGCAGGGACAAGGGGGCCAGGTGCTTGCAACAGCCACAGAGCAGCTGGATCTAACCTGGAGATGCACCAGCTGGGCTTTGGTGGGAACTGGCAATGCTCTTAGCCATCCCAACCCTTACCCAGCAAACTTGTCCTCATTCGGTACTGTGCAAACAGGCTGGGTGAAGTCAAAGGTAAGATTTGACCTTTCCCAGAAGCCAAGGTCACTTCTGTAACCTGTAGCACACTGGAAGTATCAAGCATACAGTGAGCTGCTTGACAATTAACCCCGCTACACAGGGGTGGCTTTATAAACATTCATACTGGTTAATAAGAGACAGGACTAGCTGGCTTTCAGTTGAACTGGTTGGACGTCACCCAAACTAATCTCGGCTCCTCATTCGTTAAATACAAATGGGATGCAGAGCATCCCTACTTACCTTTCTCTTTGCTCAGTTCTATTTTTTTCACAGGGCTATTTTCAGTGCTGGATAGGGCTGGCTTCTTGGGAGCGTTTTGTTCCTCATCAGATAGAAGTCCTGCCAAAGGATCATCTAAATCTAGGAATTAGCCCGTAGGGGAAAGAAAGGAGAATTAAAAAAGAAAACAAACAAACAGAAGAACCTCAAACCAAACACATAATTTAGAAGACCTCCTGTTCTGCACTAAGCCAAGCACTAAAGCACTAACCCCATCACACGCCCATGGGGACTCTGGGGACCAGATCTGCCTCGCTCAGAGCGGCGACGAGAGGGAAACCAACCCCAGTGCTTGCGCTTGTGCCCAAACTCCGCGGGGCAGCCGGGTTGAGACCTGGGTCCTCTGGGCACTGCCAGGCATGTGTTGCAATGTGGCCTCAGGTGTAACTGTGACCTCAGCATCCCTACTGAGGTCTTCCAGGTGTTCCCAAAATCCCTCTTTGCTGCAGGGCTGCTGCCTTTAATGCCACGAAGGTGGGTTCTGCAGGGATCTAGGATGCCCTCCAGTCTCCCTGAACTTCATACGCTCAAAAGTTACGTTTCTGTGGGATTAGATTTGAACTAGCGTTGCAGGGGTGAATGACACTGCATCTCATTAACCATCCAAACCTTCAGCCAATGCGAGAGGCAAGTTGCAGGCAAACAGCAAGGCCAGAGTCCGCAGCTGCCCCAGGCGTCTGCTGGCAGACCCAGAGCGAGAGCCTACCTTCAAAGTTAAATTTCTTGTACTGCCGGGTAGCAGGGGGAGATGAGAGCGGCTTCTTTTCCATTGCAGGTGCAGACTCCCCTGGAAAGAGAGGCCATGCTCAGAGACAGAGTTGCCCCTGTCCCCTCCCCAGCCAACAGCTGCTTCCCTCCCAGGCACCCCTGGCAAGCATGTGCTGTGGTACAAAGTCCCCCCGAGGTCCCAGGGGCTGCAGGTCTCTCTGCAGGGGCCTCTTTGCAAGCAGGAAAGGAGAAGAGGGCATCAGGGAGAGCAGGACGGGCTGAGGAGTGGCTTATCTTAAATGCAACCCCTCTGGGTCTCCTTCCACCCGCACCCGGCAGATCTCACTAGAAACACTTTGCACAGCATCGGGAATGGCGCAAGGGTGTTGGGTGGGAGGCAGCCGCGTGGCTGCGGGCGCTACCGTGTCGGTGACGTTGTCACATCATGCCAAGAGGCCGGGCGAGGGATCCCCCAGGGACGAGGATTCAAGCACTGGGCACCACACACAGCCAGAATAAAACTCTGTGTTTGCAATAGCCCCAAAAGAGATCAGGGAAAGGATTTTAGGGAACAAAACCACTTTTTGCTCCCTATCTCAGAGGAAAACATCTCATGCACCTTTGCAGGCAGGCTGGGAGAAGAGGAGCAGAATCTTCTTTTTACCTTTCTCAGGAGTTTGCAGCTTCCCTACAGTTTTTACTGCTCCTCCCGCAGGGTCGCGTTTCTCAGAGCCTTTCACAGTCGTTTTCCCTGGCCCCGAACTGGGTTTTGATATTCCCAGGAGATCCGCTTCCATGTCATCCATGTCCTGGAAAGCAGCAGGATGCGGATGGGAGCAGGGTGGACGCTGCCACCGCCCCAGGGCTGCTTCCCGGCCGGCACATCGCTGCCTGCCCCGACCTGCGTTCGCGGAGCTTGGCTCCACGGGGAAGGCTTTCCAAGAGGCCGCTGAGCTGGTCTGCCTGTCGTGCCTGCCCGTGGTGCGCCCGGGGCTGAGGTGACGGGTATTTGGGCGCTTACCTTCAGGGTTTGCAGCACAGCCTGCGGGTCGGCATCTGAGACATCGGATCCCTGTGTGCCAGGGAGGCAAGAGATCAGATGGACGGGCGGACAGGCTTTGGGGACACCTCGCCCCAGGGGCGTTCACTAGCACCTTCCCTTGGCTTCGCTCCATCCCATCTGGGGCACCCGGAAGCCCTTCTCCCACCATCCACCCACTCCCCGTCCCATCTTCCCAGCCAGAGGTCACTTCTTCAGCCAAACTTCAAGGTTCATCCCTGCTGTCCCACTGCTGACTTTGATGGAGTGACGCCAGGGGCAAGCTGGGCCTAGTGAGGTCACTGGGACACCCAGGGCCCCCCCCCAAAATTCAAGCTCACCTCCGCAGCTTCGATGTCCTCGGCAGGGAGTTTGCTGAAGAAATCGTCCTCCAGGAGGGACCTGTGACATGAGCCCAGGGTTGGGAACACCGCACTGGCGCTTGACAAGGCGCAGAGAGACACCAGCCATGGGCAGGACTTGCTGCACGCCACCCTGGGGACACTGGTCACCCACAGCTGATGGGACAGCCAGGCCAGGCGGGGCAGGGAGACCACACAGCCACCCTGCAGCAGCCGTGTCACACAACATGGGAACATGCACCCACCTGACAGGGCTAAAATAGCATTAGAAAAACTGACGCTAGGGCTGGGACTGTTACATTTAAGCAAACAACCATTAGAAAGGCGATTTACAGAAGACAACGCAGGGCCGGGGAACGCCCGACTCCTGCTGGAAAGCTGCAGGCCACGGATGGGGCAGGGCAGAAGGTCTTACGGAGCACAGACAGATCTCCGAACAAGAGGGACGTGTTTGAGAGCTACTCACTTCTTGCTGGCCGGGGAGCCGGTGCCCCTGGCTCTCCCACCGCTGCCCCCGGCCGGCTGGGAAGCTCTGGCAGATTTAACAGGGGTTTCATCTGGAAACAAGGCAGGGAGAGATTAAGATGCTGGACACAGGCATATCCCTGACCTAGGCACTCCAAAGCGGGATTCGCTGTCTCCTTACAGGCCCCAGGGGCTTTTAATTGGAGATGAACCTCGTTCTGCCTCCCCAACCCGCTGTCCGACCTGCTCAAAGGCCTCTCGGATGCTGGGGACGCTGCTCCCCGCTCTGCTCCCTGCTTCGTCCCCCCTCGCTACGGGAGGCCGTTTCCGGCTGACCGGGCTGTTTGTCCTGCCCATCCCGCGGCGATACGACAGCCCAGAGCAAAAGCCCTGTGCTGGGAGAAGGAGACCGAGGGCTGTGCGCCGCAGGGCTGCCGAAGCAGCACCTCCTGCTCCCGGGCAGGGAGCTACAGGGCACAAGGACGCTGCCCCGTCAGCTGCAGGGAAGGTGCGTTTTACCGTCGTATCCGAGGAGGTCGCCCAGCACGTCGTCGATGGAGCCTGGAACGAGACAGAGCGAAGGTGCTGGAGCAGGCGAGTTCACCAGGCAAGGGCAGAAAAGCCTCCAGTTCGGCTCCGGCTTGCTCTTCTGAAAGCTCCCAAGTACAAGGTTTGGTCTGAAGAATCGTTAGTGCACAGGGAGCTCCCTTCAGCTTAAGCAGCGCAGGGCATGGGCCAGTGTTTTGTGGACAAAAGATTTGGCTTCACTTAGCTAGAAACGGGCTCTCTTCCTCATCGAGTGCGCAAGCTGCTTTACACTCACGTCAGCTGCTGGCCACAAGCAGCACTTGAGACGACCTGCGAGCTCTGATGGCGCAGCATCGCGGAGCCCCTGGGCCCCCCCAAAAGCTCTGCTGCAGCATGAGGGGCTGCAAGCGGCTGACAGCCTCTAAGCAAGGCACCAGGGTGGGGGGAAAAACTGAAACGGGTACGTTTATGTTCTCCCCTGGATTTGGGAAAGTCCCCAAGACAGGAGGACCCTGATAAGCAGATCTGCTGGATCTGGGAGGCAGGTGAGCAGCACCAGGCGAGGAGCGACGTGATGAACTCAACAGCAGCATTGAGCCAAGGGTCTTGTAGCATTTTGGGAGCTGGGATTGCGCCGACCCCTGCGTCCCCCCCCTCCCCGTGCTCCCAGCAGATCCGAGCGCTCAGGGGCAGCGTCAGGAAGAGCACGCAAGGGCACGTACCTCTTAAACCTTTCCCGGATTTTGCAGCCTACGGAGAAAGACAAATTCCCTCGTTACAAAGCGAAGGGGGCCTGCCCTGGACTTTCTCAAAACTGTCTTTTCTGCATGGGGCAGTGGGGTACCGCCTGGCCCAGGCAAGGAGGCTCTGCCCCAATGAGCCCCCTTGCCGGGGGGGACACGTCACTGTCCCTCTGCAAAGCTGGAGACGGGCTGCCCTGGAGCATCCCCTGAGCACCGGCAAAGCCTCCTCCTCCCCGCACGCAAAACCCAAGGGAAACACAGAGATGGGTGCAACTTTTGGGAGGCCGGTTAGCACAACCCCTCGTGGCCACCAACTAGGCAGAAGCCTCCAGCCCCAAAGACATCTCCCACCTCTGGAAAAAAACGTCCCAGAGCAACCAATCTGGATTTCCCAAGCCTCCTGCCTGCCGCACTCACCATCAGAGGGCTCCCGGCCTTGCCCCGCTCCGGGGGGGAGTTCGGCACTCGCGGCGCGGCGCAGGGGTTAACGCCGCTGCTCCCCTTCGCGGGAACCTCCTACTC